CAGCATCGGCAGCAGCTGACAACTTCAGTGGAAGTAACAGATAAACACAGCTCTGACCTGCTGCACTCACTCACGTGTCATTAGACAAGTGCCACCGGGGCAGGCTCAATGCTGCGAATGGGATGAAAAGCCACCCAAAACGTAGCCTGTCAATCATTAGTTCAAGGATGCTCTTTGTGGCTGGATGGAGATGTTTCCAAAACACCAGTGAATAACACAGCAGCTCCCCAGAGAGCAGGAGAGTTAATGATGCGAACATGACTTGAAGAGTGGGCATAATACCCTCGGCTGGTGGTGTATTTTGGCATGGATCTGCAGAGCCCCATGGACACTGAGAGCTCATGCCAGGCTGCCTGCAGGGGACTTGATAGGGATAATCATCGGACAAGAAGGTGATTATCACACACAGACCATAATATCTGCCACAAACATGGGAACGCTCTGAGAGAAGGCTGGATTTGAAAGTGAGCTCTGAAACACAGACTGTGCTGGAGACATCGGGTTTAAAGGGGGAGACATTGGGTTTAAAGGGAGCGACAAGGGAAGATTTCTTCTTCCATCAGGTATTTCCAATGCAGCTGCCATCAGTAATGAAAACAAAAGCTGACGGAAAAGTTATTTTAATTGGAGGCCAAGAATTTCAGACTGCACTTGTAGGATTTTCATTTTCCCTCCAGCTAACACCTAATGCTTAAAAGAGATTTAAGAGCTTCCCCCACACACACTCATTTGGAGTTTACCTATGCACACATACAGGAAAGCTTTGACTCTGCAAAAGGCTTATATAAATGTAGATTTTAAGGCTACAGAGCCTGTAAGATGAGCTCTTACCCTCCCATATATCATCCGCCACCGGGATAGCAAAGCTAATTTTGCTTTATTAAGGCCGGTACATCACTTAGTTTGCCTTTTTGTCCATGAGGACCTTTAGCCAGCAACCAAGGGCTGGCAGTACTGAAAACCAGAAGGGCAATTGTAAAACCATAAGAACTGGAAAAGAAACTCACGCTACAAGTGGGTGGCGGGCGAGGCTACTTTTAAGTTGTCTTAACTGATGACCTGATAATGCCTGTTTAATAGCAGAGCTGTTCCTAGGGCAGTCCCACACCCTGCACGTCTCTTGCCATGTCATATCGTAACTGCGACTTCCGTCCTTAATCACTAAGCACGTGTTTATGTAAAAATTAGGATATCCTGGCAGCTCCTCACATCCCTGACACCGGGCCCGGAGCAGGCGCAGCACCAGAGGCAGCTGAGGCAGAGGCTGCAAAGCTTGTGGAGATGTGTGCCAAGCACGACGAGGACTTTTCATCACCAGGCAGCCTCACCGGGTCCCGAAACATGCGGCTGGAACTTTCAGCACCTCTGTGACCAAGAAAGCAGCACATGCTCTGGCAAAGCTAAAGCTGTTCTCTACTTCCATAGAGAAAAAACATGGAACGGAAGGAGAGGATGCTCGCTGAGCACACTGGCTGCAGATGTAAATGGGACGTGTTATGGAAAGGAGTGGGGAAGATGCAGCAAAGCAGACCCAAACCCCAGCTGAGCTGTGGGGGTCAGCAAGCACTGCTGTTGCTCAAGCACAGACATCTAAATAGAGGCACTGTAAGGATGAGCAGCTTACACAAACTTTATAGGGAGCTTAATTCATCACTGCAAATGTAACCTTAGAGCTTCAGCTGGGCTCTTAGGGAACACAACACGATTTCCACCCCTACCTACTATCGTCTCTCATCTGTATGTTAGATCTAAGTCACCTACCATTTGCCCTCTAATTTTATTGCAGGTACAACTCCTTCGAGGTATATTCATGTCTTCATTTCTGTCATATGTGAATGCTTGAAGCATTGAAACTCAAACTTTTGTGGAAGTGTAGTCAAGTTCACCCTCTGTCCCAGCTCACCTCCAAAACACAGAGGAGCCCACTGGCCCCACCATCATAGAATCAGCTAGGTCAGAAAAGACCTTCAAGATCCAGTCCAGCCATTGATGCTGTCAGCATAGACACGTCCTGCCTCAATCCAACCCACCCTCCATCTATGCAAAGGGAACAGCCACTAGGAAGCAGGGGATCTACTTCTCATCTACCTGACAATTTCTGCCTAGCACTGATTTGGTGCAAATGCAAATGTCGACAAAGAGAAATTAAGACCCCTCACAGAAGCAAAGCAAAGCTTCAACTCCTGTTAATTCATTCACACAAATCCCAAGTGCTCTACTAAATGCAACAACTTGCTCTGTCTACCCTAGGATTTCAATGTGCTGAAGTATCTCTCTGTCTTTCCCTCAGCAAATCCCGAGCCAAAGTCCCAGTGAAAGTTGCTGTGAATAGATCTGGAGACAAGCAAACATTTGCCAAGTTTAAAGTTACAACGAAAAAAAAGCCCCACGACAGGAGTTTGTAGTAACCCATGGGGACACACGCACTCCTCAGCGCTGTTACATGTGCTTATACAAGAGAATCGCCCTTCCTCTCTCTCATAAAATATGCATTGTCAGCTGCCGATTAATGAAGAGGACAGGGTCTGGGCTCTCCAGTGATTCCAGAATAAGGCCCAGACTTGCCATACAAAGAGACAAGTCACTTTTCCAGGCTGTTCCCCCATCTATAACACGGACAGCACAGAGCCAGTGCTGCAAAACATCTTTAAGACAGACTGCACCGATCACTGCCTTGTGCTGCGTTTGAATGAGCACAGCAGCCAGCAAACTTCTACCCAGCGAGGACTCTTTTACCATCAGCAGTTGGCTTTTCCAGGCGATCCTTCCCGGCTGGAAACAAGTCTGAGCTCTGACAATCCTCTCCAATTCGGCCCCAACCCGCAGGGGGCTGTTTGATGGGGACCCTGCGGGAAAAACTGCTGCATGGGATGGGGACCCACACACACACACCGGGGGGGCCCGGGAGCCCACAGCGCATCCCGCATACCGGGGGGTCCCGGGGAACCCGCAGCGCACCCATACACGCACCGGGGGTCCCCGGGACTTTGCAGGGAACTCCCATACAAGGGGTTCAGGGGACCTTCCCATACACTGGGGGTCCGCAGGACCCCAACGGGGCACACTCCATGCAGCGGGTCCCCAGCATAGACCCTCCACACTGGGGGTCCCAGGACCCAGCACGGCACCCAAACACACCGGGGGTCCCCGGGACCTTGCAGGTCAGCCGCCACACATAGAGTCTTGGGGACCGGACAGCGCATCCCCTAAACCGGGTGTCCCCAGCACCCCCTCGCACTGGGGGTCCCCAAGGACCCCCAAGAGCACACACACCGGGAGTCACTAGGACTCTGCAGCGCACCCCTACACACTCTGTGGAGCCCCAGGACATCCCCACAGCGGGGGCTCCCTGAACCATTCCGCTCACCCTGGGGGTTGCAGGGTCTATTTTGGGGGGGGGGAAGTCGGGGTTTCAAAGCGGAGTTTTCCCTGGAAAGGCTTGGAAGTCCCCGCGCCGCGCAGAGAAGCGGGACTTACGCGTCCCGGGGAGAGCGGAGCGCAGCGTGGCGGAGGCCAGGAAAGGGGGGGGGGGGGGGGGGGGAAGAGCGGAAGGGTGCGCAAAACGAGCGCAGGCAGCGCGGCTGGATCCTCGCTCCGGTGCTGGTCCCCTTAAAAATGGAGCGTCGGGTGAGGAAGTGTGTGAGGGGAACTCGGCGGGGCTGCGTGGGGAGCTTACCTTGAGCGGCGGGGGATGCTGGAAGCAGGCAGCCGAGGCTGAGCAGCAACGCGGACACCCGCGCCGGGGGGGGGAAGCGCTGGGCGCGGAGGCGCTTTGACATCTTAGCCCAGGCTGAGGGAGACAAACTTTCATCAGCTGGGGCTGGAGAGCAGCCCCATAATATACAGTTACAGAGAGGAGCGAGCTGGGACTCAGGATGTGAGAGATTTCCTGCATGCAGTTAACTCCAAAACCCCTCCTGCTGATGAGCTGGGCTCTGCTTTCTTAGGAAGGAGAAGAAAAAAAAAAAAAGAAGAGTTGAAGGTGGTTTTGTTGTTTTTTTTTTTCTTTTTAAAGCGGTTTGGGGGTTGGTTTGGGGTTGGTTTGTGGTATTTTGGCAAGAAAAGCCTTGCTGACCGCTGCAGCCCGTCCTGCGCTCCTCGCCGTGGAACAAATGAGCCCCAACCGCCCCTCCGCGGGGTCCTACTGCCCGCCCGCCGCACCGGCGGCACCGAGCACAACGCTGCTCTCCCGGGGCTCCGGGGTGCCCACAACATCATCCCCCCCCCCCCTTTGCCAAGTGTTCTATAGCACAGTCAGCCCTGGTGCTTCCTTTGGAAAGTTATCTGTGTATGTTAGAGCTCAGGGGGTATCTACTGGGTTTAGAATCATACAGTTTGTGTTGGAAGGGACCTTCAAGCTTACCCTGTTCCAACCCCCTGCTATGGGGCAGGGACAGTTTCCACTAGAGCAGGTTGTTCCAGCCTGGCCTTGAACAATGCCCTAGTTTGGAGCTGTTTCTGGTGTCTCTGACTTAAATGTGGGGTTTTTAAAAGAGAATAATAATACCAAGCCCAACACAGCCACAGTTGCCAGATGCATTTTTTAAAGTCTTCCTCATTCAAGTTATTACTACTGACAGTCTGGGAGAATAACCAAATGCAGATTATATATTCCTTAAATTACCACCAAAACACACGCAATGCCCACATGTTGCACAGAATGCTGTTGAGGAGTAGAAAGAAAGAACTTAATCCTCTAAATCCTCACAGGTTTTTACTGGGCAGTTTTATTAAGGTTCTTCCCAAATCTCACTGTTTGGATTGCAATGCTTAATTCTGTGGATTGGCCCCATGTTCTCCATGAGACAGCTGGCAAAACTGGCCTCATATGTGTCTGTACACCAGCATGCAGAGTACCCATGCAATCCCACTTAAAAAATGGATGTTGGAAGGAGTTGAGGCACACAGGGGTGCCCAGAGAAGCTGTGGCTGCCCCATCCCTGGCAGTGTTCAAGGCCAGCTTGGACACAGGGGCTTGGAGCAAGCTGCTCTAGTGGAAGGTGTCCCTGCCTGTGGCAGGGGTTGGGACTGGATGAGCTTTAAGGTCCCTTCCAACACAAACCAGTCTGGGACTCTATGGTTCTATGATTTGGGCCAGTTCTGGAGCAGAGGGTGGTAACTATCCGCAGTGAACCGGACTGCGTTTCCCCAGCTCAGAGGACAAATGAACCAGCAGAAACTCAGTGGGAACAAGAAGCTGCAGTTCCCAAGCTGGAGTCCTGCACCATAGCCCCTTCAAACCACCCCAGGGGACAGTCACATCCCCAGCATAACAGCGATAATGTCAGGTCATCTCAGCAGAAATAACCCTGGAAAAGAGCTGGGATCAGGGAGCATTTGCAAAACTGCTTTGATGGTTGCTTTGCTTCACAGTTAAAAAGGCCATTTCCTCCCCTTACTCCTCCTCCCAAAACTAGACCCATGGACTCACCTCCAGTTGCTCTGTGCCTTGTGTTCCACCTACATTTACCCTTGCAAGTCTCACTTCAGCAGCATTCAGCCTTAAATACCCAAGTGCTGAATTTTCCCGTCATTATCAATTCTAACAGCTCTAGTCAGCACCATTTCCTCCCTTAAAATATAAACTAATGAACTCTATCTACTGCCTCATGACGGGCATACATGCTCCCCACAGCACATTGGTTAATAATGCTAAAATTAGAAGACTTGCTTGTGGAAAGCCACCATAACAGCCATATAGACATCTTTATCCTTTGAAGGTATTTTCCCCATTAAAAAAGAGTCAGAGGGAGCTAAAGACTTCTAAATGGAGTTTTGGTAATCCCACATGGCTTTTCACTTAAATGGTAGTACTTTTATTGTGAGTAACACTCTTTGCCAACAGTGAATGTGGAGCCAATTATGTCTTGGTAATTCACTAGCATCAATGAAGTAGATGTTATCAGTGCCTCCTCCTCCCCCAGAAGTTAACCAAAGGGAACACTTGCATTTTACCACACCGGTTTTATGGGCTTGAAGTTGATAAATTGATGGTTTATCACAAAGCAGCCCCAAATAATGCTATTAACGACATCCATGTAGGAATGCTACTGACTTAGTTACCTCTGGCTCTGCAGAACAGCAGTACAATCACCGCAGATTCAAAAGCCTTTGGGAAGAAAGCACCTCAAGGACAAGGGAAGTTAATCTGAAGCGCCTCTGCTTCACTGCTCAGTGCATAAGAGAGGCCAAACCTCGACTTCCAGCTCCTCGTGTCAAACCACCTCCCACAATTAGTTTTACGAGGCTTGGTTTATCCACTTCAGAAAGAGCAAGGCCGCGCTTCCCTGCAGGAAATGAAAATTGCATCCAGGTTGTGTGGCTGCTTCAAAGGGGGGCACAGTCCCGATTCTCCAGGTTATTCCCGCGGGCACTGGCTCTCCATCCATCCTTCCCTGCTTTGTTCTTTTGCATTGTCAGGGGGGTTGTTGTGATGCAGAGGGTTGACCAATTACAAGGGGGTTGTACAAGGGGGTTGTGCAAGATAGGATAAAGAAATTTTGCCTGTTTAAGAGGAAGCATTGTTTGCAAATACCTGTCAAGCTTGCCATGCGGTAGCAGGACAATAGGCTATTGATAAGGGGGAGAAACAGTTACTTATTTCCAGTGAAGACCAGCTTTGTGGTTTGGACTTTGACCAAACTCCTAAAGAGCATACGTGATGACTAGAAGTGAAAAGTTCAGGCTCGAGGAAGACTCATTTACTTCATCTTGAAGACCCCTACTCACAAGAGGAAGACTCATTTACTTCATCTTGAGACCCTCACCCACGACCGGGGGGGGGTGGCACTGTGCAAAGGACCTTCTAGCTCATTATAATACGAAGAGGGGATAAGACATGAATATGCATAGGTGTATTGTGCAACCTTATGAATATATATAACTTTAGAGAATAAATGTAGAGGGAAACACTAGTGAGGCACGCATGCCTTTGGAGGAGCTATCCCCCATGTGTCTCAGTGCTGAATAAAAGCATACCTACTTTACAACTTTAATGAGTTGCAGAGTCTATCTGTGTATCAGTTGTGGTTTATGTGGAGGTGTCTCACTGCTGCTGGGGCTTTCTTTACCTTCCTGTCTTTTGCTACTGCTTCTTTATGAGCTCCCCCTCCCGACCCCACATTTTTGCCCTCCTTATCTTCTTTACTTCATAGTTTTCCTTCACTTCAACCAACCTTTTCTTTCCAAAGCATGCACTCCACTTTAGTTTAGGGCTATCCTGCAAACCACCAGCATATGGACAGCTAAAGTCATTGTGCTCTTTAATCTTCTTGGGAGAGGTAAACCTAGCACATTGCCCTCTCTTCTCTACCGCTATAGACAGAGGCCGGCATATGCTGGTAGCTTGGTTTGCGCTCAGCTTTGAGCCTCAGGCAGCTACCACCTACAAACTGAAAAGGAAGGATCCCACTGCTGTAGCACCTCTCTGCTTTGAGACGTGTGGCTGAAATGTCTCACCCTGCCGCTCTGGGTCACCTGTAGCTAGAGGGAAAAGCAGGGAATGAAGTGACAAGGATCTCTGCGATCTTATCAGGTCCCCTCTGCAGGCAGGTCTTTCAACTGCATGGCCCCTGCTTCCCCTTGAAGTGGTTTGGAAACATTTAACAGCCTCTTTCAGCTGTATGTTGTGAGAATCGGTAATGCTCAGGAATGCATCCTGCATTAATCGTTACCTCTTGTCATTCATGGAGCAGGGCTATAACTACTGCATCCTTTTCTCAACAACTCTTATAATTGCCTTTGACTTGTGCCACTGTGTCACTTGAACAGGACAAGCTGAAGTCGCTTAACCTTCAGGCTGCATTTACATGTGAAAACGATTTGATGTAAAGAACACCTGTGATTTTTAACAGTTAATATTTGACTGTATGACAACATAGGCAGTTGCCTTGGACTCTGGTTATCGAATTACTAATTCATGCAGGAGCTTTACTTCACATGGCGCTGAAAATGTCAATTCAGAAACGAGCAGTACGGGAAGAGAGCAGAGTGGAATAACTTACCTGGAAACAAGCATAACATACGGCTTAGTGCAGACACTGGAAAGGAGGAGGATGCGCTGAGGGAAACATCAACCTCCATTAGTTTCCCCTTGGTTAAAGGAGTTTTGCGAAGGAATTAGTGACTGATGGAGACAACACGAAAAAATTAAAAGGGGCTGGAGGGGATATATATATTAAATTTAAAACCTTCAGACTATCATATTGTGGTGCTTTGGGGGCAGTAGGTGGAAGGCACCATAACAAGGTGTATGGCACTTGTTAGATGGATTATGGTACATTATAGGGTATGGTGTATAAGAAAAGGAGAAAGGAAAAGAAAGGGAAAGGAAAAGAAAGAGAAAAAAAAAGGGGGGGGTGGGAAAGGGAAAGGGAAAGGGGGGGAGTCAAAAAAGGAAAAAAAGATAAAAAGGAAAAAAGGAAAATAAAAGGAAAAAAGGAAAAATAAAAGATAAAAAGGATAAAGGAAAAAAGAAAGCTACGTCTGCTACACTTCTCTGCTAGAGAAGGAATTGCATTTCTTATGACAGCCTGAGTTAAATGAAGAGAAAGATAAACCACCTCAGAACAATTCCAAGATAAGAGGTCCTGGTCAGGGAAAACACCTCAGCTCTCACATCTTCCCAGATAAGCCATGATATCCTTTTGGATAGCCAGGAAACCTCACTGTAATTATACATTGAGCATTATCCAGAAATCCAAGTCCTTTTATTCCCATGTGTGCCAAAACGCATGAAGCCTCGTCTGGGCTTAGCTACAGGGATCTATGGGTTTGGGGCCTCCAGGCTGAAGTTTTTGCCTCTTAGAGTAAACAAAACAAAACAAAGAAGCTTTTCCCTTTGAAATCCGCTGTCCCCCAGCCAGCTGCTGAGACTTTGTGTCTCCAGCCCTCCCTCACTTCATTAACTCTCTGCAAAATCAAGATCCGGCTGAGTTGTGGCTGCGCTGGTAGATTACAGCCCGCTATAATGAACAGGCATAGATACGGCGTGACCTTTAGCCGCCGAGCTTTGCTATAGACCTCTGTCACAACATTCAAACCAAGATAGCGAGCTCCTAAGAGCAGCATCCATTAGGTCTGCGCACTGGAATAAAACGCTGGCTGTAAGTATTGTCTACTGCACATTCGTGAGAGATGGGGCATTCGATGGATTTCCAGGTCAAGTTTCCAGCCTCCTTATCTTTAGCCAGTGTGCACCCCAGCATGCCTTGCTGAGCAGCAGAGCGAGGCTCAACCGAGTGGGTAAGCCCATGAAATGCAGTGCAAGGCCAGCAGACTTTGCTTTCTGTTGTCAATAAATACAGAGAATCATAGAATCATGGAATGGTTTGTGTTGGAAGGGACCTTAAAGCTCATCCAGTTCCAACCCCCTGCCATGGGCAGGGACTCCTTCCACTAGAGCAGCTCCAAGCCCGGTCCAACCTGGCCTTTCCTACCCTCCCCTCCACTCACCTTTGTAGCTCCATGCTTTGTTTACGACCTTCTCCTCCTCTCCTAAAAGTATCATAACACTGAATTCATCTCACATTTCTGCCCTGAAGCTTTGAACTTGCCAGTGCAGCTGAGAGAGCAAGCACAGGGAAAAACAGCCAGGACCTTGCAGCAGCCAGACCCTGCATATCAGCAGGATATAAGACTGAATTACTTTTATCATGGATCACAGAAACCCCAAAATGAAATGTTTCTAGATACCAACCCCTACTTTGAATGATAAAGTGTTCTAACATATTCAAGTAAAATTGACACATCCATTCTGAAGTTATTTATACATTTACGAATGAGATACAGTAGTTTTAGTCTGTCAGGGATAAAACATAATCTGAGGGAGGCAGTCCCTTCCACTAAGCTGTGTTTGGAGAACACTGCCTGATAGCATCACTTCTACCTGGAAGAAGGTTTCAGGGCTGATGGAGAGCTGTGCGTGCCCATCACCTTCCTACCCTGCCTGCTCTGCCCAGCTCATCCTACCCCTGCACTGCAGCATCCTTCTGGAAAACAGCTCCTTTTCTCTAACAAAGCAGGGGAGTAAGCTCAGCTTTAATGCTGATTAAGCTGTATATACTACTTTATAGGGTA